TTTTTTTTTTTTTTTTTTTTGTGGAACTGGGGATTCAACTCAGGCCCTTGCACTTGCCAGGCAAGTGCTTATTCTATGAATTATCTTCCTGGCCCCTGCCTGAGTTTCTTATAAACTGAGGGCATCTTTTTAAATTTTGATTTCTCAAACTATGGAATATCAGTGTTAAGCATAAAAATAGTTTGAAAAACATAAGGCAATTTGGATACGTAGCGAAATTTGAGAATCACTTATCTTATGGGACATTCTGTAAATGTGACTTACTTGTCTTCAGAGGTGTATCTTCCAGCTGTGTTTTGCATCTTCACCCCGGTCTCGGCCATGCTTTGAGTGCAGTTGGGATCCACTTCGACGTGTGCCCCCTGCTTCATGCAGTGGCTTTAGCACTGTCTAAAGGTGCCTTGTTCGGTTTTCTCCTGGGTCAGTTTCCCATCAGGCCACCAGGTGAGCTCAGGGAGCAGCACGCAAGAGACAGCAGCTTGCCCTGAAGTCATCAGAAGCAACTATCTACCTTCCTTCTGTCCTCCTCAAGGATAATGTAAGAAAGTCTACAGCTCCTTTGTAAATGGATTGTCTTTCCTCGGAGTTGCCTTTATTAATGAGTTTAAGTAAAAACATCTTATCTCTCCTTCCCTTGCAATGTTTGACCATGCTTGCATAGTTAATAAATCAGTCTACAGTTGTTGGCTAAAACCTCTTTCAGGATCCCACTCCGTCTTCATTAGTGTGGTCTTAGAATACTGCCTCCTCATTAAAGGGAAGCTTCACCATTCCGTCCCGGTAGCATGCAAGGTTGTGGCCCTCCATGGCTCCATTTCAGTCTTTGTGTCAGGACCATTGGATGCTAATATGGCTGTTGGTTTGGTCACTGGGGACAGAATGCTAAAGCCAGAAAGCCTGTGCCCTTGTAGTTAGTGACAGCCAGAGACAGATGGCCCGCGAGCTCCTTATTTTTTCTTGCCTCGAAGTCTTGCAGAGAAGTAGTGATGGGTTTCGATTCTGTATGCAGTAGACTGAGGAGGTGGCAGAGCTCAGACTTGGCCAGATGTGTCCTTAGAAGATTCAGGTGTAGAAAGTCGCAAAAAAGCGCCATGAATGTGCAAAGAGCTGTAAGTGGAGGAAGGAAAGCGAAGGCGGACTTGCTGAACTTGGGCGGTGTTACTAAAAGTAACGTCTTAAGATCAGTTTTGAAATAAGAATGACCATATTTTCTACAAGAAAGAACAGATAGTATTAGCAGAAGAAACTAGGGAGTACAAGTTAGTTTACTTTGTACAGATTTTGATTTTTTAAAATTTTTATTCATTTTAAGGAGAAAAAAGATAAAATGTCAATGAAAGTTTTACAACAGGTTAGTAGGACGTTTACAGTAATTAATACATTGCATATTGTTGCCTTCATAGTAGTTATTCAGAGGACAAGATGCAGACATGATATGTTAGTGTTTGATCAACAACTCCAGACAGACTCTTCAGAAAGGAAAGCTTTTACAGGAGATTGGTGTATTTTCTGTATCCCTTGATAGAAGAGCTATGGGCAAAAGGAAATCACGTGCTCAGACTCAGCGTGCTCCGGCCTGCCTATTCAAGGCTGGTGCCCTCCCAGATTCAAGGCTGAAATGACCTCCTTAATGCCAAGCTGAACTGAGGGTATTAGAGGCCGTGTGTGTGAGAGGCAATTAGGTAGATCCTCAGGCACTGCCACCTCAGACGAGAGCCCCAGAGTGAGCTGGCGCTGTCGCCATGTGAGGCCTGAGCAAACACAGTGGCCTTCCCTGGGCGTCAGCTCTGTGCACCCAATCTTTGAGGGTGAGCATTGCGTTAGCCACTAAACCGAACAGCCATGTAGAGGAGGGCAGTACAGTGATGCTGTTTTCCAGCCTGAGCCCTCAGAATCGCAGCAAGCAGCGGTCGTGTTTTCTGGACCCACACGAGAGCCTCCTTGGCCTGTGACCAGCCCCCTTTTGGCGGAGAGAGCCTGAGTTTGCTGTGAGGTGGAGACTGAGGGTGTGCCCATTAGCAGGTGAGAAGCAGCGCCACCCAGAATGTGAGGTGACAGTCCCCGCACACTGACGGGACGCCTGCTGCCTTCTCAGATGCTGCTGTGGGAGAAGCTCCCAATAGCAGCGTCCTCCCTGGGCGAGAAGTGTCCCGTGGCTGTGACCTCGGCCTTGAGGCGATGCTGGCAGGCCAGAGAGGTGCCAGCGCTGCAGAGAAAGTTGAACTTGGCATCTGAGCAAGTGGGCACTGCCTTGAAAGCCAAACAAGACCATGTTGCATGTGCGGTCATGAGGAAGGGTTCTCCCCCACAAGTCCATCGAGTGACCTAAGCAGGCCCTGCTGTGGGAAAGAAAGCTTACTGGAAAGATGGCTCTTTAGAGTTGCTCAGTCTGTGTGTCCCCCAGAACGGACCCCAGTTCAGAGTCTAAGACTTGTCATCCTAAACAAAGATGTGACTGAATTCCAACACATCGCCAGTGACAGCCTGTTTACATACGGCAGTGTCAGAAGCCAGGTAAAGAGGCTGGGAGGCCGGGTCCTTGTTTATGACTTAAAATGAAGCCAGCGTCCACCCATTTGCCCTGTTCCAGGCCTTCCTGGGTCACACAGCAGATGTGGGACTCCTGTAGGACCAGCTCTGTGTGCCAAGCTGTGACCACAGGCCCTCCAGATACTGGTCACTGTGTTCTGGGTCGCCAGCCAGAGAGTGAGGACGAGGCTCACGCTGGCCCATCTCATGCCTGCGTTGGGGAGCTGGGTGGAGGTGGGGGAGGTCGGGGCTGCAGATCATGGGGAGGAGCCGGGATTCAGATGTTTGGCAGTGAAGCATTTCTGTAGGTTCTGTTTGAGCTCTAGTTCTCTTGTGAAAGGAGGCCCTTTAAAATGGTGTGTTTTTCCCTTTAATCCTATAAATTAGTTACTCAGAGTCCAAGATATAGGCATTAATTATCCAAACAATATTAACGCAAACTGTTCTTTTCAATGAACTAAGAGAAATTAGTATAACTGTCTTAACTATCTTGCACATATATTGCTTTTCCTTTCCTTTTCTCCTTCCCCATCCCAGTTTGTCTTTCCTCTTGGATAGTTTCTTTCCATTTTACAATATCTGTTGTGCATTCTGTATCTTATTTACCCTTTCAGCTTGTCACACTAGGGAGACAGTATGACATTTGTACATGTGCATCAGGTTTATTTCACTGGTGAGTATGGTCTTGCATCCTTTTATTTATAAACACCTCAAGTTTATCTTTTTTATAGCTGAGTAGTACTCCATTGTATAAAAATGTCACATCTTTTTATCTGTTCTTCAGTTGATGGGCATTTGAGTTGTTTCCAAGATCTAGCTATTACAAATTGTGCTGCTATAAATATGGGTTCGCATACAATGCTGTGGTATAATGTTTTTAATTCCTCTGGGAAGATACCCAGCAGGGGAATGGCTGGGTCAACTGGGACTTCTAGATTTGATAAATCTGCACACTGATTTTCGTAGTGATGGTACCAGTCTGCACTCCCACCTGCAGTGCAGAAGGGCCCTTCTTCCCCACAGCCCCCCAGTATTTGTTACTGATTTCTTGATGATAGCCATTCTTTCTGGGGTGAGATGGAATCTCAGTGTTATAATTTGCATTTCTTGAATGACCGATGCTGTTGAAATTTAAAAATGTATTTGTTTGCTGTTTGTATTTCTTTATTTTATAAGTACATATTCATCTTACATGCCCATTTTTGGACTGGGTCTTTACATTTGGGAGGTCTGAGTTTTTCTTTTTAGTTATTTGTATGTTCCCAATAGTAATTGTCTCACGAACAGCTGGCAAACATTTTTTTCCCACGTTGTGGGGTGTCTCTTTACTCTGTTGGTGATTTCTCTTGCTGTGCAAAAGCTTTTTAATAAGATGAGATCCAAGTTGTGATTCTTTGTGATAGTTCCTGTGTGATTAGGGTTGTATTCATAAAGTGTTTGCCTACATGAATATCTTTAAGAGTTTTGCCTTTTCGTTCTTCCAGCAGATTTAATGTTTGTGTCTTATTATTTAGATCTTTGATGCATTTTGAATTTAGTTGAGTGCGTGGTGAACAATATGGGTCCAGTTTTAATCTTTGGTGTGTGCAGAGCCAGTTTTTCCAGCGCTGTTTATTAAAGAGGCTGTCTTGCTTCCAGTGCATGTGTTTGACACTTTGAAAGATAAGGTAGCTGGGTATGTCTGGAGTTGTTTTTGCATCTTGTAATATGTTCCATCATTGTTTTTTTTTTTTTTTTTTTTTTTTTTTTTGTATTGAACTCAGGCCCTTGTGCTTGCCAGGGAAGCGCTTTTTTTTTTTTGCCATTGTGGGTATTCTGCATTTAAAAAGATATATTGGGTTAAGAGAATTGAGGAGTCAATTCTAAACTGAATTCCTTTTAGCCCAAGAGTCCCTCTAGGAGAGGACCCTGCCCAGTGTGTGTGTGGGGGTCTGTGTCATGGTGTTTTGATGTCCATGACAGCTGGTACGTCACATCTCACCAGTGGCTTGACTCTTGGTGGCAGTTTCTGAAGTTCTCTCTGTTCTTTAGGGAGTGATAGAGATTGTTAATACTCCTCTGTATTTTTTTCAGAGCTTTAAACTTTCCAAAATTATTCTCTCGTCATATGTGTTCTAAGTATCCTTTGAAGGCAGTAAAACAGATTCTGAGGTTAGCAAATAACAAGGATGTAGCAGAGGGCCTGGGGAGGTAGCTCAGCAGCCTAAGTGCCTGCCTGGCCACACAAGGTCCTGAGTTCTATCCCCAATACCAAAAACAAGATGAAAATGTAGCAGAAGACAGGAGCAGTTGGGTAATTTGCAGGAGAACATGTTTTGAAGTCCAGTTGGAATTCCAGCATGCCTTTTCTCTATGAATGGTATTCAAATTTTGATTAGTTATTCTTTTCTGAAAAATCAAAGTCTTTTTTCCTTAAACTGTTTTCCCCAGGAGTAGAATGGATATGCACGTATGCACATATATATGTATCCATGTTTTGGTTTAGTTTCACTTGATGCTGGGAGCCAAATCCCAGGCCCCAGATACTGAGCAAGCTCTCTCCCACTGTGCAGCATCCACAGCCTTCGCTTGTTCGTTCCTACCTTTACAGCTTCTGTCTCGGGAAGAAAACCTTAAGAGTAATTTGGAGAGGAGTGATTTGAGCCAGAGACATGTTGGTATTTTTTCCTATGTGATCAGAGAATATACTTACTTTTAAAGTTGTATTTCATTTTGTACAGATAACAATTCTGTTTTTGATGAATTTTCCAAATGCCTACTCTCTTTTCTTTTTGTTAATTGAAGCACAGTCCCCCCCCCCGCCCCCAGGATGGGGGATTGAACTCGGGGCCCTGCGCTTGCCAGGTAAGTGCTTTTTCTACCGAGCTATCTCCTTGGCCTTGAAGCACAGTTCTGAATTGCTCTACTAGTGAGTCCGGGTGATGGTTTTTGTGGCTTAGTTCTCACTTCTCTTTGCTGAGCCTCCTCTTGTTTCCTTGCTGGAGTGTGTTCCTTACTCCCTTTTTACAGACAGATAATTTAAGGCGGGTAGAAGGGAAGCCATTTTTCCAGAGTCACCATTTGCTGCTATCCTTCGCTCGAGCCAAAAACCCTGGTTCCCAGCCAGGGTAGCTTGTGAAGATCTCTTTTGATTCTGTCGACCGCAGGACACAGACCCTTTGCAAAGACAGACGGGCACTGGAAATGCTGTGAACACCTATTAGCATTCAGATAGATTTCTTAAATGTCTGTATTCTACAGAGTCTCAGAATATATTAACTAAAAATGTGAAATTTTACTTTATTGAAAGACTGAAAAATAGAGTCCTGGACTCCTTCAAACATCATTAAACGGGCATTTGAAGTTAAAGCCCAAGAGTGTTTTCTGGGTTCTCACTACAGACATTCTGTGTGTAATGGCCAAGTCATGGTCCTGCAACTTGGCTGTCAAGTGCATTGTTGCTAGACGAGGATTGTGTGCAGTATCACATCACAATGTTCAGGGCAGAGAAATGGCTGAAAGAAGCTCCAGCTTGATGCCTCTTTTTATTTGCATGGCTCTTACATGCAGTATGTAATGAATAACAGAACACAGAGCTTCAGTATAGCATAGTCAGCAAAGACCACAGTCCCAGGCTGTGGAGGAAGCCACTGTGAAGCACAGGCAGAGCTGCAGGCAGGGAAGACAGGTGGGAGTGTTGTTCCCCTGGGTTCAGCGGGCTCACCAGCAAAGCGGCTATGCTCCTGAGACGCTCTGCAGGCAGCTCCAGCTCCAGGCAGGACTCTGCACGGGAGAGCGGGCCCTGTATTGAAAGGGCAAGGCTCCCTCCCCCAGGAAGCCGTGTGCAGCAGCGTCCCCTGAGGCCCTGTCTGGGTCTGTGGGGTGGTGGCCTCCCCCCCGCCCCGCTCTGTTGGCCAAGGGAGCAGAGGTGGCCCCGTCATTTGCACTGTGAAGGAGGTGTGGTTTGTGGGGACAGCCTAGGATGTGTTTCCCCCCCTCGCAGAACTCTGTGGCCCTGCGTGTCCTTCGTTCCTCAGGCCGGCGCCCTCAGCAGCGCTCACAGCCTCCTCAGCACCAGGGCTCTCGCAGGTCCTGGCTGCGCCTCTCCCCAACTCCCCTGGGTGGGGATTCCTGCACCTCAGCTCATCTGGCCCCTCTGTGGCAGGACAGAGTGCCCGTGCCCATCCTTGAGTCCGACCCACCCCTGGTGTCCTGGCCCCAGCCTGCAACCCCCCTCAGGAGCCCTGCCATGGGCCTGCACTTCATCATGTAGTCTGTGTTTGTCTCTTTCAAACTTAAAAATATCCAGCTTTATAGAAATACACTTAACACATCATACAGCTTGCCCGATGAAAGGCTGTGAGTCAGTGACGTTATACTTGCACATAGATGTGCACAACAGTCCCCACAGTCAATTTTAGAACCTTTTCATTATCTCAAAAGAAAAAATCCTCTGAACTCGTTAGGTATCACCAGTCTGTACCAAGCCCCAGGCAATCACGCACCTACCTTGTGTGTCTGAAGGTTTCTTGAGTTGGGGTTTCCATGTGAATAGCATCTTATGTATGTGGAATTTTATGACTTTTTAGTTTGCTTTGGGCAAAGTGTTTTCAAGGGTTGTGCAAGTGTGGCCTTTGTTGGGGTTGGATTTCTTTCTATGGCCAAGTAGTGCACCGTGGAGCAGGTGAGTCACGCTTGCCCATCTACCTGCTAATGAACATTCAGGAATCCCCCTTTTGGTCATCAACAGTAATGCCTTTGTGGATGTGCTTGCGTTTCTGGTGGGTGTACAGGAGGTGTGATCAAAATGTGGCTAATATTTAAAATAGATGCTTTCTTACAGTAAAATACTTTCCTATTCATGCCCTGCAAAGCCCTCCCGCTAGCTTGGAACCCATGGAGCTCCCTGCCCTCTGCGGCCACTCTGCAGTCCTCACTCCTGAGTGTCTAGCTGCACGCTCGTGCTGCTTCTATGTCCTGACTTGAGGCACCGTCCTTCTCTTTCATGGTCATTGTGATGGCGGTAGAGCCAGGAGCTCCATGGAGCCAGATCTGGTGAAGAGGTGGACGAGGACACAGCATGGTGCTCATTTAGCAGAAGCCTCTGTGGCTCTCCTAGGTGTAGGCTTGCAGGCCCATGGCAACTCCGTGGTCCCTGCACGCAGCATGTTATTAGGCACCCTGCCGCGGCGTCGGGGGTGCGGTGTCCACCCCTCAGGGCACTCGCTGTTAACTGTGTTTCTCCTGGTGTTATAGGTGAGAAGAGCTGCCTGGTGGTGGTGTCTTCTCCTAGCCTCTTCCCCTTGGCCCCGGAGCATTCGCCTGTGCCTCTGGACACAGAGGGCGCCTGGTGGTGTTGAGAGGGGCCAGAGTGGGTTGACAGATGCTGCTGTCTTTCTGATGTTTTCAGCAAATGCCCAGCAGGCACCTGTGATGGGTGTGCATTCTACTTCCTGTGGGAGAGTGCCGAGGCCTGCCCACTGTGCACGGAGCTTGACTTCCATGCCATCGAGGGTGCCTGTAGGCGGGGGCGGCAGGTGAGTGGTTGTCGGCCTGCGGTGGGTGGGTACGGCGACAACTCCGCTGCGTTCTGTGAAGTTGTGCTCTGGAAGCTCGGCTCTCGGACCATCTTCCTGCTGCAGTCCCGTCTCCTGCTCCACGCTCCACACGCTCTCCTTTGTGTGACTTCAGTGCACTTCCCTGTTCTGTAAATATGCTGTGGTGACATTCCATGTGGCATGCATGGAAACAGCACATGGCTGGGATGGAAGCACTCTGACGCCTGAAGCTGCTCTCCTCTGGGTCTGAGGGGCCCTCCGTCTGCTTCCTCGCCCCAGGAAAGACCTGGTGATTTGCTGATCTGTTGTCACTGAGGCAAAGATTGTTAAATTTTCAGTAAATTTATCTTAATCCTACTCAAGAGTATCCTTACCTGCTATGAGAGTATGCATTTCAGCTATGTATTAGAGAGCTTTTGTTTTCTTGTGAGGTTAGATAAAAGGGTAAGGCTTTCTCATTGATAGCTACATAATGCCTGCAGAGCCTCACCAAGGAAAGCTTTCTTCTTGTATAGTATTTGAAAAGCTTATGAAAAAAATAAGTGTTCTGGATTTATAGGCATCTTTCTAGTTTTGAGGCTTTTGTGTGTTTAGCAGGCCATCACTAGACATTAGAGCGTGCTGTTGTCATTGGGCATTAGGACTGAGAAAACCCCACATGCTACACAGCTTTTCCTGGCAGGATGTGCTTCAGGTGAGGTCACCTATGCGCCTGGGTTTATATTCTTTGCCATATTGGCATGATTTAGACATACAGCAGCTGAATTTTTATCACCTCTGCATTTCTTATTCTAAGACCCATTTAAAAATTAATTTAGGTCCAGGGAGATAGCTCAGTGGCATAAGTGCCTGTCTGGCAAGCATAAGGTCCTGAGTTTGATCTCTGGTACTACGCAAAAAAAAAAAAAAAAA